CTTCTTCTTCGTCTTCTTCTTCTTCGTCTTCTTCTTCTTCTTCTTCTTCTTCGTCTTCTTCTTCTTCTTTACCTAAACAGGTTTTTTTGCTAAATCCGAAGGAACACTATTCGGCTTAGGATGACCAATTTAAGAACGGGCTAAAGAGGCAACTAATAAGAAAATGAAAAAACTGAAGCAAACGTTTCTACAATAATGTTGATATGCCACCAGGATATACGAAGAACGTGATAGCTTTCAGATAAATGACTTACCTTGAAATCTGACACCAAAGAGGACACAGTATAGGAACCTGTAGAATTATTCAGAAGAAAACTAAAAAGCACGTCTACGAAAACCGGGAAAAGGCGTTTTGCAGTTTCATGAGAGTTATAATCACAACTGACAGCTAGTCTAACTTACTTGCTAAGTGTAAAAAATAGCTTGATCAGGTAGTTAATACGTCATGTTCGAGGCGATTATTCATAACCATTCTAGTGTGCAGTAATTCTGTCATACTTTTCGAGTATAGTTAGGTCTTTAGGCATACGGCGATGGAATTCTGCATTCAAAACACAAATCAACGGGGGAAGGAGACCCAAAAGGCTGAGCCAATAGTGGGAGTGTGTTAAGAAGAAAATGCAAATGCTAGGAAAAAGGAACTCCAATAAGGAAGGGAACGGAAAGATTAGGAATCAGAGGCAACATGTGAATGCAAAGAAGAGGAAGAAGAGCGAAAAGAAAAAGGAAAAAGAAGTATTATTAGGGAGAAAGAATAAATGAGAAAAAATAATAAGGAAGGAAAGAAAAAGAAATGAAGCAAGAAGAATACGAAGAAGAAGAAGAGGGTGGTGTAAATGTTAGTAATAAAATAGGAATGATAAGAAAAGAAATAGGGGGAGGTGAAGGACAAATAGCAAGACACAAATGAAAAGGAGCAACAACATGCGAAGTAAGTTGGGCAAAACGGCAGTAGGATTTGGCGAGTGAGGGCAAAACTAACTTCCAACCAGGACCAGGAGCGGACTCCAAGCATGCCAGCCGACTTATTGTACTCCTCCAGCGGAGGCTCTATCAAAATGACATCGAAGACGGAGTCCAGCTCACGAAGATCGAAGTTGAGGAGGTCAGCCCGAAGGTACATGGGTGGTGTTGCACGCGCCTGTATGAGCTCGTCTTTCAGGTGAATAAGTTCCCGCAGCTTGGGATACTCTTCAAACCTATTCTTCAGACCTAGGAGGGATAGGCATAGAGGCAAAATGAACTACAGGTTAGAACGGTAAAAAAAATACTACTTGATTCGTACAAGTAATACTTCAATTAATGCCAAAATATAGATGCGTTGAACGGGAGGTATACCCTACCTCGCGGGACACGAAATAGGCCAAGCCAAAACCTACTTTTAGACCTATGAGATAGG